AAATTAATAGCATAACGATCTTTTGGAATTTGTGTCCTTGAGACTAAATAGTCCTAAGAATCGTTTTAACATACCTGTATACAAAAGGTGTAAAAACCAATGTAAGTTTTACAGAGCTGAAAGCATTAACAGATCGCACTTCGCAGATTCAGTTCATGATACAATAGTAATTACGTAATACTCAGGTAACATCATGTGATCATCATATCCATTTACTTCTCATGAAGTTTGCTTTGAATTTTGCTTGTATTTGTTTTTTTACATTCTTTAAATTGTACATTGTTGAAAACTTCGAAAATTGAGTACATGTAATATAAGAGATATTAGTGGGGTTTTTTTTTTCTAAAGGCATTTAGATAAACTCTCTTTATTTATTTGAAAAGCTGTGTAGGAATTTGTCTTCTGTGGAAATTGATGTTTTGTAAATTAAGGATCACCATCCCTCAGTTAACAGAAAGAAAAACAACTTTTGCTTTAACGGTTATGGTTTTTCAAAAGAATTAAGTTTAATTTTTGACTATAATGCAAACAATTTCAACATACCTTGCAGGGCAAAATTTGACAAAAATTGTCTTTAAACTTGATAATTTATAAAGAAATAATAGAAATTTTTCCCAATTAGACAGGGTTGCAAATAACTTTTATAACCTTACAGGCCATGTGGGACCCATGCAACTTTACATGTTTTACTAGCCCACATCAATATTTTGGGGCCCACAATTTTTCTGTCCACTTAGCTAAGGAAAAAAATATTCTTGATCTTTTCATATCAGAATCTCTGAGAAGTACACATACTCTGCTGTCTTTCATTTTTCTGTGGATTTTGTCATCACTTGTATGAAATTCCATATTAAACAAGTTTTCCTTCACTTTGAGACCTCACATGGAATATTGTTGATGCCATTCAGGGTCTGTAAAACATTTTTGGGGTAGGAAATATTGAAAAACGAAAGTGCTTTTAATATAAGAAGGAAATGATGGTTGGGTTCCAGAAAAGTTTTTACTTGCTATATGGGCGAAAACATACTCAAGGTTTGGTCACCCGCAGACAAAATTACATGAGTTTGCGAGTGGGCATGATAATTTGGAACCCTGTTAAAGTTATCTCTCATATCAGAGGATCAATAAACCTTAATTTTTTAAATTTAAGGTTTTTTTTTCTTATTAGTGCAATAGTTTTTCTTATTGCACTGTTGGTTCAGTGTAGTTTTTTTTTTCTAACCCAGACTTCGTTGTTAACTGCATGATCAGCAAATAGAATGCAATATAGGAGTAGATGAATTAATGACATGCAGTCTCAATTTTTTATTCAAATTTTTCTGATTTCCATATAGTAAAGTTTGGAAGTAAACCATTATAGATAATGGAAGTATGCTCTTAAGAAGTTTAAATGAACACTTTGAATGTTGAATATCTCGATCAGTGCATATCTGGACCAGCATTAGAGTTCTCATATTCCAGATTATGTTAGCATTGTCCTTCTGTCCCTTAATGGGAGTAGCTTACTTGATAAATTTTAGCAAATGTGATGCAGTTTTTTTTAGTTGTTTTTAAAAGCCAGATGATTCTAAAAAGGTGAATTCCAATTTGTATTTGAGAAGACTTGGCACTGTCCTTGGGGGTTTATGCTTTTACTTTGAAACATAATTATTTGAAGTTCTAACTTACCATTTTGAGATGTTAGAATGCTGGAATGAGTTCTTCAATTTTATTTTTCTGCAAAGCAGATAGAGTTGGCATAATTTTGGTTTCAAAGCAGTATATTTTGCTTAATGTCTCTGAGTTAACTCCTTTAATAATTGATTATTACATTATTGGAAGAATGTTTTAAGACATTGAAAAAGTTCAATCTTTCAAGCATCAAAAATCATAAGAATATATTCAAAGCCTCAGTATGCATATTCCTCATGATTTTCCATCAGTTATGTAAGGTTTTTCTGTCATAATAATGCATACTTCAAAGGATACTGTAATTATATTTAGCATGAATGATATTTGGCATAAATATCATTTTTCACCAAGTTTATCAAAGATTTAGTGCTTTGTGATTGTGCAAGTCATAAATATACATACACAAGACATTTAGCTATGTACTTGATTTAGCGGAAGCTGCATGCTTTCCACCAAAGGAGCTAAATAGAATACACAGCCAAATGTAATACGTTTACAGTATGTCGATCATTGATACGTACAAACAATATTTCTCATGGTGGATGCATGCATTTTTGAAAAGGCTCATTTGGAATTGAGTGTTATTTTTATCATTAAATTTGTGCTTTTTTAATTTTTGTGATCAGATGATGACATCACAAGAGTATTTAACCCCCATTTTATTCATGCAGGAAAGAGATAATTAAATTAATGTACATGGCCAGTAAAAAAATGTTCTTCCAACGATCAAGTCTCCATTTGGTTGAATCCATTGAACACTGCAGGGCAATACCTTTTACCAAGTCAACTCAAAAGGCAACTGGGTACAGTTTTCATTGACATGCCTATTGTCATCTAGAAATTTAATCCTGCACAGCCACCCAGAATACTAATACCACAAATTTTTCAAGAGCAACTACTTTGCCCGCTGACCTTTGGTTGGTGTCAATTTTTGTCCATTCTTGGGTCTAGGGGCTATTTTCTCAGTCATGGATGACCTAGTAACACTATATATTAAGAATAAATGAGATTAAAACCAAGTGGAATGTGGAATTAAATAGAGTTTGTTTAAATTTATGAAACAATTATTTTGCTATGTCCAGGCAAGTAAGGTGCCCAATTGTTCATTATGTTTTGTATAAACAGAAGGCTGAGGTGGGATATGGTTGACACCATGATTATTAGTTTGTAGGAAGGATTGATGAACAATTTTGATTGCCCCTTTCATGTACCATGAAGTGACTGGAAATAATTTTGATTGTCAACATTTAACCCAAGATGGAAAGTTTATATTTGACAATTACCAATGGGGTGTCAGATTCAAATTGGTACAATGGAATAACCGAATTAAGACACAGTCCTTACAAAAGCACCCAAACCCTCTGTCAATAAGAAATCGATTTCTACATATATTATTAATGTAAATAGTTCAACTAATTATATAGGGGTTACCAAAAATGAATGCAATATATATCCTGCTGTGATGGTAGCTTTTGAATTTGTTTAACAAAGATCATTGTAATATTGTTGATCTTTTGTGTTCATTGCCCTAACATTGACTTTACTTATAAAGTCGCAAATAAACCATACTGACTTCTACTGATTTTAAATTGTAGCAATAAGAAATGAAGTCATATCCATGCAGAGAGGGAGAGATCGAGTTCTCAATGGATGAGCATCCTCATTGATCATTGATCAGATATGAATTTATGATTTTTTTGCAAAATAATTATTTCATAAAGACTACAGAGAGCAATCAATTTAAAGAATTATATCTGACCTTTTTAATGATTTGATATTACCTCCCCTCCCCAAAAAATGAAGGAAATTATCACGTGTCCATGTCCTCATTAAGAGTTTTTGTATACACCCGAGGATCTTTATACCTATGTCAACAAGATGTGATAACCAGGTGATATTTGAGCTCTGCCTAGTATTTCAGTAAGTAGTGGAAAAGCTTCAGTTAATTGGTAGTGAAATGTATATTTGTACAAGAGGAATCCGACTGTAGGTTTTTCTGCGAGACTCTTCCCTGACTGCTTTAGTTCAAGAGCCAATCTGTTTGATTAACAGATTCATTCTGAAGTGCAAGTAAATGTTATAAAGAAATTGATATTTGCTTTAAGTACAATATGTGTAGAGTTTTCTGATCAGTCCTTTGGTCAGAAAGACTTATTGATTCATTGAAAATGCAGATTTAAGTCTTGAGTGTTAAAAAATTACTGGAACTGGATAAACACTTAACCAAGTACTTAAGTAGTGTGGACTGCTGGAAAGCTTAATGATCAGTTGGCTGATTCAAATTTTTTAGCCAAGCTACATTTTCACCTCTTTTTGGTCATCAAACAGGTTTATTCAGATATACAAGTTCAATTTGGTAGAGGACCTTTCTAGAAGTTCAGGGGCTCCATTTCAAATCAGAGTGTTGTCTGTCACATTTTCTTCCTTAAATGTACCATTACACTTGGTTCAGTGGCATTTCCTGAAAATAAAAACAGAAATTAACCTGGTGGGAATGAGCCTGTGTTTGCATCTTGTGGGGTGGGGGTGGAGGGGGGTGCAAAGGCTCCTTAGTGCTATTCCCATATAGTACGTAATTCTGTCTAGAGTTCAGGGAGCACAGGGGATTGGTCTCATTTTTTTTTTTTTAATTTTTCTGTGCATTTTCCAAAATTAAGAGTCATTACTTCAGAGATAATTCTTAATTTATAAATGTCTCTCCTCTGAGTGAAACCAAGTTCGTCCATACTAATTTTTTTTACAACTCTCTTTGATGATCAATATTGGCTCTTGGTCACTCTGTATAGATCAATTTCTTGCTTTATATCATATTCATCAATTTCATCAAAACCTCCATATGCTAAGAGAGCAACTGTAAGTCTGACATTCAAAAAGATTGACAGGACCAACATGATTATCATTCTTTATAAGTTGATAATTATTCTTTGAAGTTATCACAGAAGGTTAATGGAGGATGTGTTTTAGTGCTTTTCCTCAATACTGTACATCATTCTATTCTCTCTCGAGAATTATTTTTCAGTATTATATTTTATTTTGTTGTTTTTTTTTTTTTTAAAATTGATATATCAATTCAATGTGTTGACAAATTGTTGTGCAATATTTTATCCAATATTATTTTGAAGAATTTTCGGTAAAATAAAGGTCATGGCCTGATTGTTTTCATTAGTCAGTGAACCTGATCTGTGACCTTTTTAATACTATTATCCTTATAAAAATGTATGTCATTAGGAACCAAAGTCATCCTCAATGCTTCAATGCTTCAGTGACTTCAATGACTTAAGAGGTCTGTTGTAATTTAAAGGTAGTTATGAATCAAAGTGGAGCATTCTCATTGCTCAGCTCACAACCAGAAAAATAGGGATGGCTGTGAAATAGAACCCTATGTTTTAAGTAACAAAATGAAACAGAGCAAGAAAAATTTTGGATTGTGTGCTCTAGGAATGGAATTCAATTTTCGTACAAAATTGGTAAGATAAGAATTTCTCTTTTGTTATTGTGAGTGAAATTTAAGATTGAGTATATATTTGTTTCAGAAGATATGATACCTATATTACAATGCTTACACCTGATAGGATATTAAATTGGTTGACCCCCCTGGCTCAAGTGAACAGCTACTCATCCCATCTGTGGTGTCTGTATGTAATTGTTTATCAAGTTTCACCTGACCTGTCATTTTTCACCTGAAGAATTAGGTAACCTGACCAAAAAGGTTTAAGGTATACACTGTATATACTTACCTGGTCTGTTAAATTGTACCACATTGATTGACTGGATAGATTTTTCAGTGGTAGGATACTTTGTGTATTGTTTGATTCGAAGCAGTTGTAAATGATTTTTTTTCTGGGATGTATTGTTTAGTTTAGTTCAGTTTTTCATTCATTTCAATTGTCCAGTGTTGACAAGAGATGGAACAGCTGTGGGTGTATATAATTACCCGGAATGTTCTAAAATAAGTTGTGATTCATGTGTATTAAAAAGTGTGTAAAGGTTTGGTCTCTTTACCCATCGCATCAGTAGCTCTGTATGGGTACATATTATATCATTGGATGAAAGCTTCAAGGATCTAGGAAGCAATTTATTTTATATGTTTTGAGGATCCTCAGCAATGTTTAGGAATAACCCAAATCATCCTACATAGGTGATTTAAAAGTAGGTGATGAATAGGGTGTTTTATGCTTTATGCCTCAGAACTGTACAAAAAGAAAGAAAATTTAAAACCTGCTTGGTAAAATATCTGATGTCATGAAGTATATTTTACGGAAATCATTAATTTATACATACAACTTGATATGTGCAAATATTTATATGATGGTAATGAAAGAGATTGGTGTGTTTAATAGCATTATTTTAGGGGATGGTGAATCAAATTCCTATCAATTCTTTGTTTTAAAACAATAATGATAAATAATGAAAATTGATGAGATTTTTAAATATACATAAACTTTTGAAGCAGAAGGTGTTAATAAGATTATTGAATTAATTAAATTATTGATGTTTTATTGGAATCAATGAATCATATATTATTTCATGTATGAATTAAATATATATAGCCAGAATAAAATACATGTATAGTTTTAAAAATCAATTTTTATGTAACTCTTTTTGATTATATTAATTGATCTTCTTGTATAATATCTCATTGAATAACTTGAACAGAGTTTAATAAATTTTTCTCTTATTTCAGGACTGAGCCTCAGCCATGGGCCAGAATCAATCTGCTAAAGCCCCACCACAGGAGGAGATCAAGGGCCCCCCTCCCAGACCAACCGAGCTCCCCACATCTCGCCTTGTCAGTGACCTTGGACCTAAAAGTCCCAGCTACTACAACCCAGCTAATTGTGTACTGCCCTCTGTGCTGACTGAGATTAAGGATGTTCAACTCAGACCAGTTTCACATGAGCTCTCTCAATATCACCCTGATTTCAAGGAAATATTCTCTAGTCCTGATCCCAATGAAAATGACCAGAGTAAGGAAGAAGTGAATATTAATGGAAATATTCCAAATGGAGATGTTTCTCACAAGGGTATTTCCAATGGAAGTGACAGCAATGCTATTTTGTCAAGTTCATACCCAGGCATGCAGAGTTCCTTTCTGTCAAATGGCTTGCCAAGCTCATCCAATCGTGGCAATGGTGGTTCTGTGGAGAATGGAGTGCTTGTGCAATCTGCATCGGGAAAAGTGAGAGGACATCGCAGACAGATGTCAGCCACATCTAGTCTGTACATCCGTGAAACAATTCCAGAGGATCCAAATGAGGAATCTCTGGAAATGCGTGGAAAAATTGACCCAATTTCAATGGATACAAGTTACAATTCACAAGTGTCTATTCCTGTTAAAAGTTCATTTGATTTGGATCAGTCCTATAATATGACTTATGCCCAACTTGCTGAAGCTCGCAGGAGCAAAACTTTAATGGATCTTGAAAAACGAACTGGTAAAAAACTGGAAGACTTAAGTAATGACTTAGCAGACAATGCTGAGGAAGGGTCTTTTTCTAGACAGCCATCTGTTCGGAGCATGAAAAGTGCTGTTAGTTTAGACTCTGGTTTGAAAAAGAAAAAGAGAGCTCCTCCACCTCCTAACCATCCTCCACCACAACCACCAACCACAGCACCTCAGAAAACATCTGCTACACCTCCTCAAAGACCAACTCAACCTCCACAGAAAAAAGCCCATTCTTTTGAGGAACCGCCTATTGATTATGATATGGACACTTTAGATTATGCACAAGTGAAGCGCTCTCAGAGTTTACGCACACCAGCCATACCACCTCCACCTCCTCCTTTGACAAAGTCCATATTAAAAAAATCAGAGACAAGTGAGCCCTATAGAACAAACAATCAATGCCCACAAAGTGCAATAGAGACCAAAGCACAAAGTGCACCTTCTACTCCTCGTTCTACCTCAGTTTACAAATCCCCTCCAGTTCTTCCACCTGCTGCAAAAGCAAATCAGACTAACCCATTCTTAATGGAAATTCATAAAAAAGCAGAGGGCATTTCACTTAGGAGACAGTTGTCAGAGCAAGCTGAAAACAATAAGAAAGCTACAAGTGCAGAACCTGCTGTGGAGACTGTTGAGAAAGTGGAGGAACTTAATTTCACAGATATTTCGATAGCTGAAGATGAACCTAATCTTGTCTTCCAAAGTGCCCCAGCCACACCTCGTGAAACTCAGAACAAATATTCCCCCAGACCTCCTCCACTTGTGAAACAGAATTCAGTTGATTCAGGAGTCATTGAAAGTGCAAATAATGAATCACAAAAATCAGAAGAAAAACTACAAAGACAGTCATCAGAAAATTCCACAACCAGTGCTGTTTCATCCAATGAAAGCAACACAACACCAGCAACAAGGAGGCTTAATTCCTTGCTGCAACATGACATAAAAATTGCTGCTCAAGCCAAAGCAACAAAAATAGTCAAGCACACAACCCCTGTGAAAGAGAAACCTAAAGACCCTGCACAAGTGTTTCGCGAGCAACTTCAGAAAGCTGCTGCAGAGAGGGAGGCAAGGTGCAAGGAAGGCAAGACAATTGATTCTCAGCTGGCAGAACAGAAAGAGCGGGAGCAGGAGGAGAATTTAGTGTTCAAATCAGATATTGTTACGGTCAGACGAACTGAAAGTAAGAAAGAAGTCAATGAACCTAGAGAAATAGGGAAAAAGGAGATTGTTAATGAGAAAGAGGAGGTGGAAGAATTCTCTAGACCAAAGTTCATGAAGAAAAGTTCTACAGCTCCTAGTGGACTAACTGTTAAAAATTCAAGGCAACGTATGCCAGACTCAGATGAAGAGGATTCAAGCAAAAGTTATCGGGACTCGGTTTATGCAGGAAAGGACTGGGTACCAGAAGATGATCTCTCAGATGATAATCTCTCTGATGATCAGACAATGATATCTCCAAGAAGTGGAATGGAGGGATTCAAAACATCCATAATTCCACAGCAGGTCAAGGACTTAAAAACCAAGAGCAAACCCCCAAAAGTAAAGGAGAAGAAATACAAGAAAAATTCTGACTCCTCTGCTGATGAAAGAAGAAAGTTTGACAGCATTAAGAAATTCAAGAAATCTGTACACAAGAGTGTCAGAAATGCATTTGGCTCCATAAGTAAAGCATCAGGGAAAATTATGAAGAAGCAGAAATCTGAGGATTTTGAGATTATTCAAGATCCACCCAGGAATTGGAGGCTTTCTGCTTCTCATTCAGATCCAGCATTTACCAGAATGATGATACCTGATGATGGGGGAGAAGATAGTTCTGAGGATGAGGAGTCTATTTTAGAGTCTAGTATTAGTGGAAGTCATTCTAGTTGTAAAGCATCAGAAAGCAATGGAAGAGGAGATGATGAAGAAAGTGAAGGTGATGATGATGACGATGATATTAAAGATCATGACATCAGCACAATGAAGCGGGCTGGTGTGGCTTATGTCAACAAAAAAGGACAAATTGTGCTATTGCCAGAGTATGAAACTGTTAATGGAAGTGACCGTGAAAGATTCGAAGGTTCTGCTCCTAAGATTATTCCAAAGAAGAAGAAGTTTACATTTGATGCCACTGTGAGAAGAAAAGAAAGGGAGCTAAAACATGAAATAATCTCAAAAGAAGTTCAGGAGAAAGAAAGAGAAAGGGAAGAAGAGAAACAAAAAGAAAAGGAAACGGAATTGGAATTTAGAAGACAGAGAGAGCTTGAAGCCAGAGACAGGCTGCAACGTCTGGAATTGCAAGCACAGATGCAGCAGCAGTTGCTGCAGCAACAACAGCAACAACTTGGATATCTCTCTGCCCCACCACTTCCACCACCAAATGGATTTCAGCAGGGATACAACCCTGCAGCATTTGAGTTTTCAAATATAATGAATCAACCTGGCATTCAAAATGGGGGAATAGGGGTACCTTTTGGTGGACAACCAACATTCAGTGGACCTATGTTTAGTGCAGGTGTACCAGGAATGAGTTATGATCTCAATGATTACATGAGAATGATGCAAGGCCTTCAACAGAATCAGAACAATATGACATCTGCATATGCATTCATGTTGAATGGGTCTAACTGGCCAAACACTATGATGGATTATTCCAAAATGTCTACCAATAGTGTACAGACTGATGACTCTCAAAGAAATGAAGTGTATAAAACGTGGCAGGGCCCCACCAAACAGGTGGTACCCAACCCTAATTCAGGAACAGCACAGAAATATGTAGTCAACAGTGACAACTCTGGAAACCAGCAATATCAATCTAATGGTGCTAGTGATCCCAGTGGCAAGGGAGATGACTCTAATTCTGATGTTTCTGTGTCTGAAGGATTATCTCCCCAGAGGGCTTCCATGGTGGCAAAAATTCATGTTGGTGATTTTAGATCATCTGTGACAGAGAATAATGTTGGACTATTCAAGTCATCCATTTCGGTTCCAAACTTGTCCAATTCCAGTGAAAGCACTAATTACAGGTAAGATTTATAATACATGTAATGTGTATTTTCATAATGATGGTATGTATACGTACTCCAGCTGTTGAATCAGAGTGTGTCTCTGGCCTGCAAAAAACTGACCATTAATTATACATGTATGTACAACTTCCATTGATTGTACATGTATTTTGATTTCCACATTCAATTTGATTAGCTTTGATCATGCATGAATACTGATTTTGTTTTCATCATTTCATATTCATAATTAACCACAAATTATTCATCTTTTATGTTTTCAGTTTTTAACAAAATAAAAAACTATGTAACAGCTTGATCAGTGGTTAATTGGTATGATAATCAGATGCAGAGGTATTTGTTTATACATGTATTTATCTTCATCAATCACTTTACTGTGAATCATCTTGTGTACTTGCCTTATTAAGCTTCTGTGTTTTTTTTCAAAAACAAAAACAGAAAAAAAAATCCATGAAATATAGGTTAAATGAAATTTTAGGGGGAAAATGATTCCATTATTCTTTTAGACATGCATTTTAATATTTTAAATATTGATTATCTTAAACAGGGTTGTCCTTAAGAATTGAAATAGATCTGGGGTTCCTCCCCTAATGGGGAGTTGAAGAGGAATACCAAAATAATTGGAGGATTACATCATTATAGGTGGGGAAATTCCCCGGCCCATGGGTCTAAGGGACAACCCTGCTTATATATTAAACTAAATAACTCAATAAGGCAATACAATGGTATTTAAAAATGGAAAGGGACTCTGGATTTTGTCAACTATTTCAGAATGTATATCACTGATGTAGAGGATTTTTTAAATCAGGAATTGTATTCACTGTATGTCTAAAGGATTCACCTATTGTAAAATGGTTTCATTTTTAACAATTTGTGAAATTAATACCGTGGAGCTCTGATCAATATCAATAAATGAGCTCTCATTTTTTTAAAATTTCATTCAATTTTGAGATTCTAACTTTTGTTCAAATTAGACACTCTGTCACCAGTCTGACTTAGGTTTTAACTTCTTTCTTAATTTTATTTATAAAAGAACTTTTGGAATATATATATATATCTTCGTGACTGTCTTTATTGGGCCTTTTTTGATTATTATCTGCCCTGGGAATTCCACAAAATTACATCATTTATCTTTCAAACAAGGTCTTTAAACATTTTCTTTTTTTCATTTACAATGTACGTATTATAACCATTTGTGCACACAGGTGCATCTGAGAAAAAAAATCCTGAGAGAATATTTAAATCTTTTTTTTTTTTCTTCCTAACTGCTTTGTCTTCAAGTATAATTCAAGTGTTTTCTAAAATGCAGCTTTCAATTCTGTCTTAATTAGGTTAAGGAAAAAAAAATTGTAACACATTAAATTCCTATTAAGTTAACATGCTTTTTAAAAGTATATATATAATTAGCAACTAGTGTGACTTTGGTCTGATTACGTATCATTCATTATATTAGGGAGTTTTTAAGTCAACACAACAATTCTAATCCTACAGATTAACAATGGTTACACAGAAGGCTTGTCAACAAAGTAAGTTGGCCTAGAACCAGTGACCGTTGCATAAAAAGACTTGTTAGCCCGAGACCCACACAAAGCCGCGAGTGGAAGACTAAATATTTGTCATAATCACTGCCTTTGTCTGTTTAAATACAAGTGGAATTTCTGTAAGGATATTTCATACAAACATGCTACCAATATTACTGGTCATATTATAGCTGTATGGTTTCAACACAAAAGCAATGTGTATATACTTCAATAGTTTTAACAACAACAGAGACATTACATGACCAATCATTACTTTTTTAAAGACTTCCTCAGGAACTACATTAGTGACACCTTCAATGTCACATGATTGGTGTCAGATTTAGAGCAGACTGTGTCAAACTGCCATTACACAATAGAGTGATGGGTAACCTCCAAAATCCCTTCCTAACCCTCTTTTTGACACCTATCTCTTTGGTATACCCATGAATACAAAAGTCAGGTTTTAATCAGCCGTTAAATCTCTGTCATTTAGAACCTCCGTAAAGTTCAGTTACCTCAATGTTTCTGACATAATACTCCATATTTTCAGCTGAAATGACCTCTAGAATTACTATGGACTTGATTGATGATAATCTGATGGCAGTCAATGGATAAGGTTTATAGATTTGTGGATTTTGAAAAATCTAGATGGTTAGAGTGCCTATATATAAGCACATTATACTTCATTTGAACTAGAATTACATGTAATCTTTATTTTCAAAGTTTGTTTAACGTCTCCATATGAGTGAAAAATTCTCAAGAGGGGCGTTAAACAACAAAAAAACAAACAAAATTTCTTTATCATTGACTTTTTTTAGTTTTAAAAATAAATTTTGCTGTTTTTCACATTTCAGATAGTTTTGGTACTTGTGACACTGATAGCACAATCACCTGGATTCCGTTGGAGTATGACAACTGCCAGATTTACTTAATGTGGAATCTGATGGATTTTAAGGAGGATACACTGTATCCACAAAAAAAAAACTAGTATTTTCTGAAATTATATCGTCAATCTAGGTGTACTATTTTTAAAACTCTGAAAATCATTTCTTCCATATTAATTTTGTTCAAAGTTATACCTGCATGGGTACTCTTTTTCTATAATTGTCAGAAAAATAGTTGCTTGCTTTTTTAAATTGAAAAGTTATATTTAAAATAATTTCAAAGTGCTTAATGACTATATTATATTATATCATTGATTATTTATTTGTTGCATGAATCATTTGTTGGCAGTTTCATGATAATTGTACATAATTCTAGTCTATTCATAAATCAACTTTATATATGTGTGAAGACACATTGATCTTGTTTAAGTTGATAAAACTTTCCTTTTCTGAAAACAGAGACATATCATACTTAAGAATATAATTATTATGATATATTCATTTTTCAACTTTTTATACAATGATTTTTTTTCATGGATATCATTAATATGTCTGAATATATGGTATCATAAAAGTACTATGTACTAATAAGCCATATGAACAGAATTGTTTTTTTAAATGAATTTCATATTTATACATGCTGGTATTGCATGAACTAGAAATTTTGTACATTTGTGTATCATTAGAAATAAATTTACGTATTATATACATAACCCATAAACTAAAATCAGGATGTCGTATTTATATCTGAGACTTCTTTATTTTATAAATATAGCCCTTTAATGAGGTCGATCCATAGATATATCTATAAATGTTAATGCAGTTGTTAATTATTTTCATCAATCATATTTGTACTATACTTTTACAAAACCTTACATAGAATTCCATAAGTGTATTTTATCTTTAGATATTTAGGTCACATGAAATATCATTAATTAATTATTTATAATGCTAAGTTTTAATGTATATATATATTAACAAGTGCTTTTGTTGTAATGGGATATTCTTTTTATATAAATCAAGATTTAAATACACGTAATGGACAAATAGGTATTTTCTTAATTTTGATATGGCTGTGCTCTCTAAACAGAATTTTTTTTTCTAGAATGAAATGTACATAAGATTATATGTAAAACATTGAACACTTGAAAGGGAACATGCTCAGCAAAAATGTTTTTCCTGAATGTTGATTGTGGCCAGTATTTGATATGTTTTCATGTTTACTTTCCATTTTTTCCTCCAATTTTCTAGACATGTCTTTCATAAAAAAAACAGTTGTAACTTTTAAATGCTGATCAAAGTATACATGCAGACAGTTTTTTTTTCATGATTGTAAAGATGGAGAATTATAGGGATAAAATTCTCTTCTTTTGTAAAATGTGGGCAGAATTAAAATATATATGTGTATCTGTGTGCTAGGGGATGGGGTTTCACAACTTATGGTTTAATTGTGCTGTTGAAGTGCCATCAGATACATTATATGTAACTGGCTGTTAATTTCTTAATAATATACATGCCCAATCTACAATCTGATACTATATATAATCATAAAAAATTAATTTATATTTCATTGAGTCTTTAATTTCTTTTCCTTACATGTGTATCTGCAAGTTCTCTTTATATTTTAATTACAGTGTATTAGTAGATTTTAGTATAACTCACTCACTTTTGGCCTGTCTTTTGAGAATTCCCAAATACATATTCACTTACTAGCAACATGTAGCTCTGAGTGTGACTCAGTATAACAGTGAATAAGTACTTAAGTGATAAATGTCTCAACAAATCAATGCATAGAGTGAGTTGGAAGTTTGGTAAATGTTTGTAAAAGTATGGGTTCATTTTTCAAATGCCAACAGCACCCATATACGCAAGCTGAGATGATGTGACATACCCCCATCCCCCAGAACCAAGCACATACACAGAGTTAAGAATCCATGTATTAATTATATCATACTGTTATATATACACCTCTATCTTGACATATCATGTTTGTTGAATTTTTTATACAATGTCACATATTTACATAAATATATTTATAATAGACATATTAAATATATATTCTAAAAAAAAGTTGTATTTCTTTTAATGTGTAACATGCACAAGCTGCAAGACAATTTGCTTTTAACTTAGAGAGAGAGAGAGAGAGAGAGAGAAGGTAAACAACATGGGCTTTATGAAGTCACTTTTTCTTTAAACATTGAGCATTAATAATATTTGGAATAGCTCCAATGCAGGTTGAAAACATATCCCCAACCACAGAAATATATATGTAAATTGTTCAATAATAGTGATTGTGGAGTGTTACAACAGTAATCTGACTGTGAATCTTTTATATGATATAAGAAATAGCGAAAAGGGGGGGGGGGGTTCGTATAAACTTCAATCTATTTTTGAATAGTTTTGTCATTAAGTTGGCTCTTTTGGCTATGAATTGCAAATTTTAAGGACTAATTTGAAATTGAATTTATTAAAAGAATGTAATATGCATGTATATGCCCCTTATTATTTCTTATTGCAATAATTTGTATTTGCAAATTAAAAAAAAAATGCTTGATACGTAGCCCATACATTCGTAACATTTCCCCCAAGTGTAGAGAAGGAGA